GTACCAGACATAAATTCCTTCCTGTAGAGCAGGCCTCAAATTCAATCTAAAAGCAGTAGGTTACTAAACACCCTTTGTGCTACTATTGCACATACCTGGAAAGTTAGTATCTTAGTATGAAGGGTTGGCCACAGGATATCATTAATGTTCCTTCTCCCCCAGTGACTTACATAACATGTTCCAGGACTGTGAAAGTCAGTCATCAGTAAAGAAGTTTTCAAGTCAGTTCCAATGTGATTTCTCCATGTCCTGACACCAAAGTATATCATGTCTTCAGCAATAGTGTCTTAACATCCAGCTATGATGAGCAGCAAGAGCAATGGGAATATCTTATGCTGTTTCAGAGACCTTCAGGTATTCCCTACCAATAACTTAATAGCTAAGGATATAACCCAATCCTGCCACTAGATTTTCATCCAACCCAATTCTTCTGCAGAACCATTGTCCATCCGTGCAAAGCACTGTGCTCAACTCCTATTGTTTTTTTTTTCTAATTATCTATTTTAATTAGTAGTTGTGAAGTTTCACTTGGGTATTTTTTGTATTGCTTTATTTGTTATTTATTAGGAGGACTCACTGCAGAACTGTAGTAATATCAGAAGGCAATTTGTGGTAGTCAGTTCTTCCACTACATGATTCTGGAGGTCAAATTCAAATCATTGGGCTTTTCAGCAAGTACCTTTACTTGCTGAGCCAACTCACCAGCCCTGCACTGTAATTCTTAATGAGATATATTATATAAGCTACTTTTATGTGTTTTTTTAAGCTAAGGTTTTCCTGTAAATTCCATCCTGCATGTACTGTTAGAAGTACTTAGGAGATTTTAAATTATTATTATTAATCATTTTATTTGTCTACATTTCCCTTCCCAGTTGCCTCTCCATAGATCCCCCATCTCACCCCCTCCCACTCCCCTTTGCCTCTAGGAGGGTGCTCTTCCACCCACTCACTCACTCCCACCTCACTGCTCTAGTACCCTGCTACGCTGGGGCATCAAGCCTCCACAGGACCAAAGATCTCCCCTCCCACTGATGTCAGATAAGGCCATCCTCTGCTACATATGTCTCTGGACTCATGGATTCTTCCATGTGTACTCTTTGCTTGGTGGTTTAGTCTCTGGGAGCTCGGGGGTGGGGGTGGGGGGTTCGATTAGTTGATATTGTTCTTTGCGTGGGGTTGCAATCCCTTTGGTTCCTTCAGTTCTTCTCCTAGCTCTTCCATTGGGGTCCCTGTGTTCAGTCCAAAGGTTGGCTGTGAGTATCTGCATCTGTATTGGTCAGGTGCTGGTAGAACCTCTCAGGGAACAGCCATACCAGGCTCCTGTCAGCAAGTACTTCTTGGCATCAGCAATAGTGTGAGAGTTTGGTGTCTGTAGATGGGATGAACCCCTAGGTGGGGCAGGCTCTGGATGGTCTTTCCAATCTCTGTTCCATATTTTCTTCCAGTTTTTCCTTTGGACAGAACATTTCTGAGTTAACAATATTGAGATGTGTGGATGACTCCATCCCTCAACTGGGGGCTGTGCCTAGCTACTGGAGGTGGTCTCTAAAGGTTCTATCTCCCCTTTGTTGCATATTTCAACTAAAGTCATCCCTGTTGGGTCCTGGGAGTCTCCTTCTTCCCTGGTTTCTGGAACTTTCTAGTGGCTACCCTCGGTTCCTCATCCCCCACTGCTACATGAAGTCTTACATGCATATGTCTTGTTGAAATGGCACAGCCATGTTGAGGATCCCAGCAGAAATGGCTTCAGATCCACAGAAATGGCAAGACTTTTTCCAAGTTAGGGTCAGAAGCATGGCAAAGCCATCCTCTGGTCTAAGCAAGAGTGACTATGAAAAACTGAACAGTGTGTTCCAAAGCTAGTGACCACAGCTCCTTCGTCCCAGATAACTGCAACTGGAGGTTGCTGGGACAGTCTCTAGATGGCCTTAACAGGAGATATTTTGAACTGCTTAGGCTACATAAAAGGAGGAAAACAATAACAAAAACCCAGTGATTCAAGTCTATGAAACTGGCATTCTATAAAGTAAATTAACTGGCAAGAAACATGAAAAAAAATTACTCCTAAATTCCACACTATCCTACGAAATACTGTAGGTGGTGCTGAATAAAAGAAAAAGAAAGTGTGTTCTAAGAAAGAAAGAAAGAAAGAAAGAAAGAAAGAAAGAAAGAAAGAAAGGAAGGAAGGAAGGAAGGAAGGAAGGAAGGAAGGAAGAAAGAAAGAAAGAAAGAAAGAAAGAAAGAAAGAAAGAAAGAAAGAAAGAAAGAAAAGTGTTCTGTGTCATTTGGCTGCTCATTTTACTGAACTCTAGTTTCCTCTTCTGATCAGAATTACAATGAGGGTATTAAATCCAATCTGCAGTTACCTTTGCATAATTCGTGACTTTAGACATTTAGAATTATGAATCACTGTGTGACTAATTTTAAATTTCCTTCAAACTAACAGTGTTCCTCTTACTTTCTCTAGCTTTTCTGTAATGTGCTAACTTCAGAGCACACTTTTTTGAGGTCTTAGTCTAACAGATTGACAAATTGATTTTTAAAAAAACCTGACAATGCAATATATTTATTCAACATCTCATGTCTTCATCTAGGAAATGAAAGTTTCATAAGGATCAGGATAAGTTTACGTGGCTGGAGAAAGTGTTTGGTGGCTCAGAGCACTTCCTGCTCATGCAGAGAACCCAGGCTCGGTTCTCAAAATCCACATGGTGGCTCACAAACATCTCTTACTCCAGTTCCAAGGTTTCTCCTGTCCTCTTCTGGCCTTCGTGGACAACAAGCAGACATGTGGGACCCAGAGACACATGCAAGCAAAAAACTTTCAGAAATAAAGTTGAGGTCTAGAGAGATTATGTAACAGTTAAGATAAAACACTACTTCACAGAGGTCCAGAGTATAGTTCCCATCAGCCAAGGTGGGTGGTCTATTTACTTCTTTCCAGTGTTTTAAGTATTTTAATATATAAATAAAGTAGTGTGTACTTGGTAATATGCAAGAATACAATAAAAGCAAAAATCTACTAGGGTCATAGAAGCAGTGTCTCTTAAGTCACAGTTATCACAGTAAGTCTCCACAAATGGTGAAAACCAGGATTTTTGTGTACATATAACTTCTTTCAATTTTTTATTTTAAATTATATATTTGTGTATATAAACCCCCAACATTGTGAAAATTTAGAATTGCGAAAATAAAAATCCCCTGTATCTAACATCACCTGATTGCCTATCCCCCTACAGCTAATTAAATGGTGATAACCTATGTAAATTTTCATATGCTTTTCTAGCCTACACTAATTGATGAATATGCCTGCTAAAAGGAGATTATATCACACATTTGCAGATGGATTTCTACTCACTTAAAAATATGTCTTTTGGTGTCTGCAGCAACACATTTGGTAGCTTCTCAGCAGCAGAAAAGGATGCATTTGAGGCTCTCTGGTACCTCATCACAAGGTAGAGTCTAGTTCTGACCAGAAAAGTCCTGTGACTAGTCTTGCTCTGCCAATCACTGATCCTTTCTCTCAAATCAAGGATCTAGAAGTGGCACCAGCACAGTGACTGAGACGTGCTGTAGACACTAGGAGGTCCCACCATTAGTAAGGAAAATCTAAACAAAGAAGGCTATACATCTGTTATTCCTGAAAATCATAGAAACCCATCAAATGCCATACCCTACCCTTGGAGCAGAGCTCAGCCTTGGAGTGAGGAAGCCCACCCATGCACAACTTACTTGAAACAGGAAGGAAATTTGACTTGAGCATATTGAAGAGAAATGAACCCTAACATTGCAAAAGAATGCCATTCTTTGTCTCTTCATTTTTTAAGACCTCAAAACCCTCTCCCTAGAACATATAAATTTAGTTTTGATTATGTCGTCTTTGTCTTTTCTATTTTATAATTTCTCTTTTCTGCTTTTTGTCTTTTCTCTTTTACAAAAATAGTTGATATTTTTAAGCCAAATGCCAATACATCAAACATTAAGTATCCATTTCCACACTAAGTGCATGGTTCATGGTTGCGTACTATATTGTAACAGATGTGATATTTCATTTGTATGAATGAAAATTTTTCACTGAACTGACAGACCAGTTAAAAGAACATACTGAGAGCCTAGAGTTTTCAGATTACTGGAGACTTTTGTTAAGCAGTAGGCACAACTGTTGACTCCACAACAGAAAAGAATAGCTAGATCAAAGAGGATTCGATATTGTTGGGCAAAACTGACAAGAGTCATTATTATACCAAGCAAGGACATTTCATTAGGGCATAGACTCTGATTCCTCTGTCCCGTCAACCAGGGAGCCAGAACCACAGTGTTGGGGACTGAGTTGGGAGTTTCTTGCTGCAGACGAGGAAGTTAATGAAAGCAGAGTTGTTTGCAAGAAAACTTCATAGCTTCCTAGACGCTGAATTCTCTGGAGGCCGTTGTCAATCTGTTGAAGATTATGTGATTCGAAATTGTACAGGTAAAAGTGCAGAGTGGTCAAGGGACCAGGGCTAATGTGACAGGTAGGTCATGTTCTGAGCCTTTTAGTTCTGCAGTCAGTAGATTCCCCACTACGTTCTGGTAGGTGAGACTGAGCCTGGAGTTCTGTTTACTCAAACTGACGCACATGGACGCTTCAGAAATATTGTTTTGAGAAATGAGATATAAGGGGCTGGTGAGATGGCTCAGCAGTTAAGAGCACCAACTGCTCTTTAGGAGATCATGAGTTCAAATCCCAGCAACCACATGGTGGCTTACAACCATCCGTAAGATCTGATGCTCTTGCCGGCCGGTGGTGGCGCACGCCTTTAATCCCAGCACTTGGGAGGCAGAGGCAGGCGGGTTTCTGAGTTCGAGGCCAGCCTGGTCTACAGAGTGAGTTCCAAGACAGCCAGGGCTATACAGAGAAACCCTGTCTCGAAAAACCAAAAAAAAAAAAAGAGAGAGAGAGAGAAGAGAAATGAAATATAACAATCATGTGACTGATGGCTATCTCTACCTGTTTCTTTCAGATACCATTGTTCTTATCGCTTCAATAGCAGTTGTCTCTGCAAAAACTCAGGGTAATATTTTCGCCACGTCAGCACTCAGAAGTCTCCGGTTCCTACAGATCCTGCGTATGGTGCGCATGGACAGAAGGGGAGGCACCTGGAAGTTGCTGGGCTCCGTGGTTTATGCTCACAGCAAGGTAAAGATGCGCTCTCTGCACCACACAGGAAAAATTTTGAAATATTCTGTTGGTCACAATACTGTTTAACAAACTTGACACAGGCAGTTGCTCCATTTTGTGACTCAAGCCATTTGAAGCCCTGATATGTAATACATTGTTTTTCTATTGGATATTTTATTTGTTTACATTTCAGATGATGTCATCTTTCCCAATTCCCCACACACCCCAGAAACTCCGTATCCCATCCCCCCCCTTCTCCTGCTTCTTTGAGGGTGTGCCCCCACCCACCCACCTACTCCTACCTCCCTGCCCTCGAATTCCCCCACCCTGGGGCATTCAGCCTTCACAGGACCAAGGACTTCCCTTAAACCCTTTGCATATTTCCTAGAAGTAGGAACATGATTGAATTGTACATAGATTTCATGTTTCCTTTCTCAAAGAATATTGTCACCTCTAAAATGTTTTAATTCCTTTTATACCTAGGAATTAATCACAGCCTGGTACATTGGATTTCTGGTTCTCATTTTTTCATCTTTCCTTGTCTATCTGGTGGAGAAAGATGCCAATAAAGAGTTTTCTACATATGCGGATGCTCTCTGGTGGGGCACAGTAAGTATAAAAATCTGGTTTTATCTATGAGTTATTATGGAATGTCTCCACTGAATATAAATAGCATAGCAGTTTTCAGTGAGTGGTCTCAATGAAAATGCTAACTTCCAAAAGGGATAAATATGGAAATATATAGTATTTGTAAGTGATCTGAACAATTTCTGTGCCTTTTGGGGCAAACAATTAAACTTACACATAAATTATCATTTATATTTTTTGAGTGCTCTGTTTCCTAAGTAAACATTACCATTTTGAAAATATGAACTGTTAATGGGATTATTTGTTTTAACTTTATAAACTTATAGACAATTATAAGTTTATAATTTATAGACAATTATAAACATGATTTACCACTCCAGAAAAAAAAGAGGGGGTTTTAATTGTCAAAAGTACAAAAGGAAGGAGTGTGTGGTGATACAGGCCTGTAATCCCAGAAGTCTGAACACTGAGGCAGAAGGATTACAAGTTTAAAGTCAGTCTGGTCTATGTTACATAACACTTTCAAAAAAAAATAACAGAAACAAAAACAAATGGAAAAGAAGCTGAGTCAAAGAGAGAAAAAATTAAATACATCAATCAGTCAAGAAGAGAATGCTGGGAACATCTGAGCTGGCAGATCAGAGATCATGTATACCTTATTATAGTATTTCCCATTCAAAATCCCACTTTTCCTTTACACTGCTACAAGTATTTTTCAAAGAAGGTAAAAGCAAAAAAAAAAAAATGACAGTTGTCATACAAATAGAAAATAACTAGGCATGGCGGTGCACACCTTTAATCCCAGCATTAGGGAAGCAGAGTCAGGCAGATCTCAGAGTTTGAAACCATCCTGGTCTACAGAGCAAGTTCCAGGACAGACAGGGCTACACAGAGAAACACTGTCTCGGGGGGGGGGGGATTAAAAAATTCATGCTTCGTATTATATTTAATTCATTTTAAAAACTCATTGGTCACACGTGACAGTCAGTTCATAATACTGAGCAGAGCCCAGAAAAATTCCGAAATGTCAGGATATTGAATTGTAAGGATAAAGAGAAATCTGTCTGCTTTCACGGTATAGGAAACAGATCAGTGAACATCCACTGTACATAATTTATTTACACATATATGGCAAAAATTATTTTGCATTGCTATGTGTTATCTACAATTTACAGAGTTGTAAAATTGCTCAGAAAGTCATGAAGATGCAGAACACAATAGTCTGGAAAGGATGTGCTGTGAATAATGCATTTTTTCCTTTCAGACAAAAGTTCTCCCTGCATTGTGGAGAATTTATAAAACAGTCATTTGGAACTTACACCCTAGTAAGAATTTACAGGATATGGGAATACTTTATACAATATAAAAATTATATATGTCTTTATTTTATATGTTTATGGTGTTTTTAAAGGGAGTTACATGGAAATACACATAATTTATAATTATGTAAGATATTTCTATTTTATTCTTGAGATTATAATTCCAACATTGCTTCCTTCCATTTCTCCCTCCAAACGTGCCCCTATAGCCCTCTCCATTATTCTTCTCAAATTCATGGCTTCTTTTATTTACTAATTGTTATTGCATGTATATACATACATACATACATACACACATATATATACATATATACATATATATACGTATATACATACATATATATGTATATATATATATATATTCCTAAATATTACCTGCACAGTATATATAACATTACTTGTACATACATTTTCAGGGCTGGCCATTTGGCACTAGACAACCAATTGGTGCACTCTTCTGTGGTGAAGACCACCACTTCCATTCCCAGAATTCTTCAGCTACCTACAGTTCTTTGTGTAGGGTTGAGGCCTGGTGCGCTTTCTTCCATCTACTTCGGTATTGTCCTTGTTCAGCTCACGTTTGGACATTTGTGTTAATGACAATTTATGGGTGTAGCTTCTGATATTACTAGGAGGCACAACCTCACAGCAAACTCCTGATCCTCTGGTTCTAATAATCTTATTACCACCTCTTCTGCAATGCCCTGAGACTTGGATGCAAGAGTGTTTTGTAGATGAATCCCCTGGGAACAGGATCTACAACTCTTCATTCTGATTGGTTGTAGTTTTCTGTAGTAGACTCTATTGCAAAGAGAAATTTCCTTGGTGAGAGATGGAGACTATACTTATCTGTAGGTATAAGTAATTAAGTGTATATTGTTGTTAGGGACTAGGTTGGCTTACTAAATTATTACCTATAGATTCTCCTTCAATGACCATGGCTTCACTAGCACTGAATAGTTAGCTAGGTTTCCAGTACCAGAAGTGATTTTTTTCCTCTTGTTTAGCAAAACATAGGTCCAGTTAGAGAGCTGTTGCTTACTACCAAGGTATGCATGCTGCTCCTGTACCAACAGAGTTATTGTGGCATGCTGTTCTGCAGATGCAATTCGTAAGCATCACAGTTGGATAGGACAACTGGTTACTTCCCTCTTGCGGAAGCTTGCATGACCTTCTGATACCAAGAGATCTAGTCATCAGGGAGGGGGTGTTCAAGTCAGTTCCAGCTCAGGAGTTTCAGAGTCCTGATTCTGAAGTTCATGATGTCTTCAGCAAAAGAGACTTAACTTCCACTTTTGGGGAGGTAACTTAGGGTACTTGTGATAGTTGGTATGCTTTGGGAATCTCTTAGACAAAACAACTAAAAAGACATCTTTCTCATGTCTGTATTGAAGTTTCTGTTAGGTGGTCTTTGGAACTTGGAGAAGATGTTCATCCCAGATGCGAAAAGTTCACTAAAACTACATGTGCATATTTACATGTGGAATTAGATGTATTACGGGTTTTTTATAGGTAAAGAGTTAATGTGATTCACTGTGGCTGTTTCAGAATCCTTACTGGTATTTTACACATCTCCCTCCTTCTTCTGTATCCACCTCTCTTCCTTCTGCTTCCCTAAAAATCCCTCTGTTTTCTTATTTCTCTCTCAGGTCACTTGTATCCTGCCATTCTCCTTCACCCTCCTTCTGTTTCTTCTCTTTTCTCCTCTCTCTTTCTCCCTCAAGAGCCCTTTACCCATTTGTGTAAAACATTTCCACTCTTTGTATTCTGCAGAGGAAAATTCACTTATAAATCACTCTTGGGTGCTAGCCAGCTTTTTTGACAAACTATGAACATGTCATCATCTTAACCTGTGACCGAGGCACTCCTGGGTTTGTGTTTGCCTTTTGAGGAGCACAGACTAGAGTTAGTATAGTCTAATAAGTCACTGTTCGTCCAAAGCTCATTTATGTGTCTAGAACTCCTGTGAGAGACAGGGAAAATTTGTCAGGACTAAATCAAGCAGAACTTGATATATTTTTGATTGTATAGTAGTCATTAAATGAATAAAAATTAGAGATACATTCCCCTAAATTTCAGGCTGTTAAAAACATTGAGTACATGTCTTCAAGATTGTGCTGTGGGTGAGAGAGTAGTCTATTGTATTAAATGAAAGGTTACATGAAAGGAAAAATATCTTTGCTGAGTATGCATCAGTCAAGAAATCAGTATCTAAAATACATAAACTGTAAAAGTTCAACACCAAAATTCCATCCAGTCGGTAAATGGGCTAATGAACTTGACAAACAATTCTCAAAAGAAATAAAACAAATAGCCAACAGATACTTGAAAAAATATTCAAAACTTAGCCATAGAGGAAATGTAAATTAAAACTGGGGACTTTTTTTTCCCACCTCAGTCAGAATGGCTCTTGTCAAGGAAACATATGACTGTAAAAGCTAGTGAAGATAAGGAGAAAAAGAAAAACATATATACACTGTTGGTGGGAATGTATACCGAATAGCCACTGTGGGAATCCTTGTGGAATTTCTTCAACAAACTAAAAAGGGCTCTATCACTACCGGGTGTACTCACAAGGGACTCTAAGTCAGCACACCATAAGACACAAGCACACTGATGTTTCCTATCCCACTGTTATAGTACCTAGGCAGTAGAACCAGACTGGGTGTGCGTGTTTTCTCTAAGATGAGGAGTCTAGATATAAATGAGTGTGTTTGCGTGTATGTGCACACATTCACATGTACCCAGAGTCCTATAAAAGCAAAGGACTTTTTGTGGAGGTTTGGGGGGGTGGAGGGTTTTGGTTTTTTTGTTTTTGTTTTTTCTACCACAAAGGAAAATGTTACTATGACATCTTAGGAAAGTGGATGGAAGCCGGGCAGTGGTGGCACACGCCTTTAATCGCAGCACTTGGGAGGCAGAGGCAGGTGGATTTCTGAGTTCGAGGCCAGCCTGGTCTATAGAGTGAGTTCCAGGACAGCCAGGACTACACAGAGAAACCTTGTCTCAAAAAAGAAAAAGAAAGAAAGAAAGAAAGAAAGAAAGAAAGAAAGAAAGAAAGAAAGAAAGAAAGAGAATGCAAATAGAGATCCTCATAGTCACAGTGAAATTAAGCCAGGTGTGGAAAAACTAATAGTGCATGCCTTCTCTAATATGGAAAGTCTAGACATAAGTGTGTGTGTGTGTGTGTGTGTGTGTGTATGTGTGTGTACGCATGCACTCATACACACACACACTGCAACCTTAGCCCCATGAAACAAATAGGGTATCATGGGAGAGGAGAAAGAAGTTAATGCATGTGGTAAGGAAGAGAGTGTAATGAACTACATGTGCTACAGGAGCAGAAAGGGAGGATCTTTGTAGGGAGAAATATAATCAGATGAAAGCAGCACAGTTGGGTTGCCAGAGAAATTTGGGAGAGGAATGAATCAGGACAAAATAAGATAATGGCATGTATGCATGCATGAGAACAAAATATCATGGCCTGCACGTATGAGAAGTGCTTTACAATAAGAGAAAGAAAATGTCATAATGAGACTCATTGCTTTATATGTTAACTCACAATGTCAATTTAGAAAAAAAAAATAGTTTCATTTCCAACTCTTCCTCTCTACACACAAGAAACATTGGACATTTCAAAGGGAAAAAGACGAAGATCGAAAAGAGACTTGACATTCCTGAAATACCTCTAATCTAAAGAAA